TTTCGAATCGCTGAATCTAAATGTTGAAAACAACACTGGATCAGTTTTCTAAATCACGGGATCCAGTCATCCTGAATAAATGGGTATTGTTCCTTATCTCTCAAGTATTTTGTTTAAAATGTTTCCATTGAATTTCAAAATTATAAAAAGCAGTTCTAAAACGAATGCTGCTGAAGATCCTCAAAAATGTCTTTGGCTCTGCTTTCAGGGGGCTAGTCCCTTATTTATTTCTCATGGCAAGCACACCACAATACAAATACATGAGTACTCATTCACTAAGGTTTTTTTTTTTTAATTTTTTTAATGTTTATTTATTTTTGAGAGACAGAGAGACAGAGTGTGAGTGGGGGAGGGGCAGAGAGGGAGGGAGACATAGAATCTGAAGCAGACTCCAGGCTCTGAGCTGTCAGCACAGAGCCCAACGCAGGGCTCGAACTCATGAACCACGAGATCATGACCTAAGCTGAAGTCAGATGCTTAATTGACTGAGTGACCCAGGCGCCCCTAATTCACTGAGTTTTTAATCATCTCTGTAACTCATCTTTCCTTTAGCCCACAGCAGCCTGTTCATTTCCAAAAGTCAACAGCTTTCCCTAAAATGCTTGCGAACAAGCTGAATCACCTAGAAGAACTTCACTTTACTTTAAAAAAAATTTTTTTAACATTTATTTTTGAGAGACAGAGACAAAGCATGAGAGAGGAAGGGGCAGAGAGTGAGGGGGACACAGAATCTCAAGCAGGCTATAGGATCTGAGCTGTCAACACAGAGCCCCACATGGGGCTTGAACCGGGAGATCGTGACCTGAGCCAAAGTTGGATGCTTAACCAGCTGAGCCACCCAGGAGCCCCATACTTTTCTGGTCACAAAATACCAAAAAGCTCTACTGAAAGTTGATACACACAAAGGTCTACTGCAGAAGAGTATCATTTATATCATTTATTTTTGTATTTAAAATAATAATGACTAATTTTTCTTCACATTTCTACTTAAATGTTGACTTCCCCTAAAAAAAATAGCTTTACCCATCTTTTCATTTGTTAATAACCAAGATTTTCCAAACAGGGATTCAAAGAAATTGATAATTCCTAGTGTTGACACTGTTCTCCAAGCAGTGAGCCTGTTCTAAAGGAATGAGTCTCTGTGTCAATGCTACAATCTATTGAGAAAAGCACTCGTGAGATAGCCACTTAATTTCCAACTCTTAGAAAATCCATTATTCTGCACACTGAGACAAAAATAGGATGCAACCAAGATG